ATTTTCGGACGCGTTCGAAAACAATTAAAACGTTAATTACGCAAGTGATATTTGAGCTTTTTTATATCTCACAGTTCATCTCGCGCTTTTATTCTAACTTCTTGAAACTTATATATTTTATTATTTCCTGCCTAGGCATAAACCTAAACTAAAAATTATGCTGGTCACTTGAAGCAAACAAAATATTGTGTATTTTTAAAAACGTCTTTCAGACAGCGGATTAAATATTCGTCTTAGTATGCTGGCGGTAAATTATTTTTTCTCAAAAGTGCAACGGTATCAGCTATCCAATCTATTGCAGCTACTGAGTATTATGACACATCTACTAGAATAAATAATAAAATCTTTGGGCAGTGTGTTTTTCACTTGACAAGCGCGTCATGAATATAGTTAATTTTCGCTAATTCGACTAATTATAAGCTATAATTTGTTAATGCATTTACTTAAATTTTTCGCGTTAAAAACATACAAAATTGTTCACTATCTTTCAAATATGGCTGTTTTTTTGGATAGAGACTAAGTTATAAATATGCCAGCATTTATTCTAGGTTTATAACATAGAGCAAAAGTCCTGACGCATGTGCCGCGGACTGAAATTGACATGCACGCGTTGCTAATTTTATCCGCCGGTATTATCTTTTTATTATTTATCAGTGTATGAAAGCACTGTAAACATACTGATCTTGGTAACTAAAACTATATGCACCGATTTCCTCCGAATGTACACATCTATCACAGGAGAATATTAGAAGAAAGTATATTATACAATTTATTAGAGAGTAATGTTTTTTGCGTGAAAAGCGGTTCATATGTAATCCCCGTCATCGCTTGAAGTCGGTCAACGCGTAATTTCAAGTTTTTCTTCGCTTTCTTAACAGTATATTTAAATCGTAAAATCATTGAAGTCGTGGGGGGGGGGGAGGTAAAATCCCCCCAAAAAAGTCAAGAGAGGGCCCAAATATTTTCGGGCAATATAGACCACAGCTCCTCCAATAGATATATGAATCCCGTACGCCTATGAGTATACTACTATACATTTGTATTGCTCTCATGTGCATAGAGAGACAAGGTACGAAATTAGAATCTATAAACAATCAACTTTAAAGGTGATCTACAGTCCGATCTGCGCATGTGCACAAATGAGCCCACTTTTTATGATACAAACAGTTTAACTATGTTTTGAGTTCTTGAAAAGCCTGATTGTTGTTTCTTGATCATTTATTATACTCTAGAAGCTTGAAAATATAAATAGTTGTCGAATAAAGCTCAATATTTTGGACACAAAAATGTAAACAAAGCCTTTGTTTACATACGGACTGTAGATCACCTTTAATACATGCATGGTTGGGTATACAAAAACGTTCTGCCGTAAAAAACGAATTTCTTTCTTATTGCTTTGAGCTATTAGGCTATATTAAAACCGACGAAACATGTAGTAAGCGTATATATTAAGTGAAAGTGAAACTTATTCTCAAACAAATACATGAACCAAGACTGCATGTCGTAATCTCTCTGAAAGGGCGAAGCAGTAAGGGTGTATATATAGAGGCATCTAACGGCAAGTGATTTAACGATCACACGGAGGGGTTATTAGAGACCTTACGATTTTAGGACGGCAACGCGACGACGACAGCCAAAACAAACTCCCTCAAATAAATGGTAGTATTAAAGCCCACTAATTGTTGTATATTAGTTTCTCATCCGGAGCTTCTCCTAAAGTGGATGCGGGCTGGCGGGCCAATACCATTATGCCATTATTTGCTGGATTTCCCCTCCCCATAAAATTTATTTTGGAAAAGTGCGCATTAAGCATTTATATAGCAACTTTCTGGAAAACAGCACAAAATCAGTAAGTGCAACTGAAAGCATGTTTTCATAATTTTGTACCCAGAACGTCTGGCGTTCTTCGGCCCTGCCCCTGGCTTCCGCAGTAGAACTTTTATAGCTGAGTTTGGATATTTAATAAGTGTGTACGTAATGCGGGAAAAACTTGCAGTTTGGTTATGAAATTTTGTATTTTAACTATAACATTTGGTTTGGGAACGTTTCTAATTGTCTTTCTTTCAAATTTCACTTTGAAGACATCACAAAATTTATAATAATGGTCAAAAATGGCAATAATAATGGCGAACAAGGCCATTTT